AACCCTCGGCGGGAGCGCCACCGCACTCCCACACTGTAGCAGTGCGCCACCAGGCTGGCCCCGACACACTCTAATTTTGAGACGCTCCTAGTGTAGGAGAGTCCCAGGCCTCAGCCCCACTTTGGTGCCCAGTTCTCAAGAATGTATGGTGCTATTGGCATTACCCAAAGTGCTTGAGGGCCCCTTTCTGTGGTTCCCTCTGGGTTGATGGGCTCCTAAGGTCCTTCCTTACCAGTCTATACATCTTAAGTTTATGATGTCATCTCCTTAAGCCAAGAACTCATCAATCCAAAAAGTTGAGTTTTCCAAGAGTTGTCAAATTTCCAGCTTTATCCTACTGTCACTGCAATAACATAGTGGATAGGTGCTTTGGCTGTAGATTCAAACAAATGTAGCACCAATCCCAGCCCCACCTCCTGCTAATTATTTTGGCAAGTTATTTAACCTCTGAGCCTAATGAGGATAATAGCGTTTAACTCACAGGGTGGTTGTGAGGAAAAATGAAAAGCTGGGAAAGCACTTCGCCTGGCATCCAGTAAATTCTCCAACATGGCAGTTTGAGGCCTTCAAATTATAACTGATAGGTATTTATTCTGTACTATTTGTCAGTCACTGTGCTGTGTACTTTGCTTACTATTTTTAAAATTTATTTTACATGTGGAAGATTCTTAAAAAATATTTAAGAAAGTTTCATGAGACAGGNGAACACTTAAGTTACTATGAATTTGTAAACACTGTTTATAGCTACACCATATGTTGTGCTATGATTACATTTGTTTTAGGACAAACAATCTAGATTGGAGGAGGAAGATAAAATTGGAAGTATCTGATGTGTTCGAACACAAAAGATTTATACTTTTGACATAGATATTGGCACTGAATTAATGATACTTAAACACAAACCGAACTAAGTATATGAAAAACCAGGCAATTATTAACTACAAGGAATTAAAAAATGTGTAATAGCAAAGACTTACAGAGCATCTACTATATGCTTGGCACTGTTCTAATACATACAAAGCACCTAGAGAGAGCTTTGTAACTCTTAGGTGCAATATGAGGAAAAGACATTGAGGTTCTGGGATCAGGTGGAGGCTGCTTTACAGTCCAGCATAGCCTATGCACTTGGGAACCTCTTGACCTCAAGCAAGTCACTTCAACTCTCAGGGACTGTTTCCTGAGCAACTCCTACTTTGCAGGGCTGAAGTGAGGACTAAAAAAGCTATTACATGTAAAGTGCTCAACACAATGCCTGGTCCATTTTAAATCCCAATACACAGGAGCTGTTACTATGAATGGGGTACTTCCAACCTGCTCTATTGCCAAAAGGGAAAACTCAAGTAAATATAATCCAAATGTAGCAAACATGCGAGTGCTTTTGCCAAGAAAATATTCAAATATAGTGTCTGCATCAAAACTAAAAGTTAAAGGAAAAAACTCACAGGATACATTAAAAAAAAANGTGCTGTCTGGTTAGCTCAGTTGGTTACAGCATGGTTTTGATAACACCAAGGTCCAGGGTTTGATCCCTGCACCAGCCAGACACTCTCCCCCCAACCCCCAAAATTCCTGTTACACATATCTGCACTGTCCATTTTTAACTTTCTGCAATGATGGAAATGTTCTATATTTTCATGGTCCAATACCATAGGCACTAGCTAGCTACAGGTGACTACTGAGTACTTGAAATGTGGCTCCTACAACTGAAGAAGCCTATTTTAAATTTTAATTGATTTAAATGGAAATAGCCACATGCAGCTAGTGACCACTATATTGGGCAGGTCAGATCTATATGATTTGGTTGCTTAAATGTTTGTGAAAACCTACATTAATATACATTAAGTTGTCTTAAGAGTTATTGTGCAATTACTCTTGCTTAAATAAGTACATCAGCTGTTGAAAATAATAAAAGCGGCTCAGTAAGCATTTCTGGAGATGTGCTGTACTCAAAAATCTTGGTTTGGGTTTAGGATAGTAAAAGATCCATCCCATTCCTCTTGTATTATGCAACACTTTAAAAAATAATCCAGTAATTCCTGAAACATACCCAGACAAAATTCAATTAACTCTTTTTTTTGGACAGATAAGAGCCTTTGGAACAGCCACATTAGCAGCTGGTTGACACACACCAGCACCTCAGGACATCTTGACATAATTTAAGTTGTAGCATTGACACCAGGTTCATAGGCATGGGTTTATTCTGCCCTTCCCAACATCCCTGGCACATCATAGGTGCTCCCTTAAAAAAGCTGGGAGTGTGTAGAAAACAAGTGGCCTGTTATATAAAACTCTAAATTTATTCAAAGTGTTAAAAGATTTCACTCTCCCCTCCAAAATATTTTACAATTTAAAAAAAATCAAAACTATTTTCTATTTTCTCAGCCACTGTACAAGTTGCTGCTTCCTTTTCTCAGGACTAGCCTCTGCCCCTCCAACCCTTTTTCCCTCCTGCCCTTCCCCCTCAATATTGCTATAAGCTTCTTTATACAACCCTCCACCGTTTCTTCTCCCCATGCCCTGCCTGGTACGGCTTCTCTTCTGGATTTCAGGCCCTTGGCTGCAAGTGAGGCCAAAAGGATGTGTAGGATACACAGGCAATGCCCGAGGGGCAAGACTATGCTTTGTGCTTCTGGGAGAACGACTAGTAGGCCTTTTTCTTTGTCAAGTGGAGGATCATTGTCCTTTTTGTCCCATGGACACCTGTTCAGAGCCAAATATTTGGCTTGGGGTTGCCCACAGCCCTGTAGCCCTGCCCTTTCTCTAGATTCCCCAGGCAGCATGGGTCCATGACAGCTGGGTCTAATGTCCGTATCNCCCTTTCTCTAGATTCCCCAGGCAGCATGGGTCCATGACAGCTGGGTCTAATGTCCGTATCGTCTGTCTGCCTGTGGATTGTTAGGGACAGAAGAGTTGCACATAATTAGAGTGGGGCTTGATGGAGCCCCAACTTAGTGTGGGCGCCAAACCCCCAGGGGAGGAAGTTTTGGTTTTGTGGTAGGCAAAGCCAGGACCAGCCAGGACCAGCCAAGGCTGTGGGAGGTAGGGAAGTAGTGGCAGGAAAGGTCTGACCACACAGCTCTGGGATGAGCAATGTTCCTTCTGACAAAACCTCCCTCTCCATCCTCCCGTTATATAAAACTCTAAATTTATTCAAAGTGTTAAAAGATTTCACTCTCCCCTCCAAAATATTTTACAATTTAAAAAAAATCAAAACTATTTTCTATTTTCTCAGCCACTGTACAAGTTGCTGCTTCCTTTTCTCAGGACTAGCCTCTGCCCCTCCAACCCTTTTTCCCTCCTGCCCTTCCCCCTCAATATTGCTATAAGCTTCTTTATACAACCCTCCACCGTTTCTTCTCCCCATGCCCTGCCTGGTACGGCTTCTCTTCTGGATTTCAGGCCCTTGGCTGCAAGTGAGGCCAAAAGGATGTGTAGGATACACAGGCAATGCCCGAGGGGCAAGACTATGCTTTGTGCTTCTGGGAGAACGACTAGTAGGCCTTTTTCTTTGTCAAGTGGAGGATCATTGTCCTTTTTGTCCCATGGACACCTGTTCAGAGCCAAATATTTGGCTTGGGGTTGCCCACAGCCCTGTAGCCCTGCCCTTTCTCTAGATTCCCCAGGCAGCATGGGTCCATGACAGCTGGGTCTAATGTCCGTATCATCTGTCTGCCTGTGGATTGTTAGGGACAGAAGAGTTGCACATAATTAGAGTGGGGCTTGATGGAGCCCCAACTTAGTGTGGGCGCCAAACCCCCAGGGGAGGAAGTTTTGGTTTTGTGGTAGGCAAAGCCAGGACCAGCCAGGACCAGCCAAGGCTGTGGGAGGTAGGGAAGTAGTGGCAGGAAAGGTCTGACCACACAGCTCTGGGATGAGCAATGTTCCTTCTGACAAAACCTCCCTCTCCATCCTCCCGTTTCATCTTGCAGGTCCCAGTATGATTCCAGAAAGAAGGAAGAAAAAGAAAAGGATTCTGTTCTGCTGATGGCAAGAAGGCAGGAGATGACAGAGTGCTCAGGGTTGGGAAGAGGCCTGCTGGAATCTGTGGTTGTCACTGCTGCCCTGATCTATGAGGGAGTTGCGGGGCACCGGGAACCAGGCCCTCAGAGGCTTCATCAGCTCTGTTCCTTGTCTTTGACTAATAAGACTGTATGCTGGCCCCCACTGGACACAGATAAGACCACACGGTTCTCCAGCTGTTTGCCCGTCATTTCCACGGGGCTCCAGGCATCCTCATCCTGCCCTGTGCCCAGCTGGTAGTTGGTGCCCATGCCCCAGGCAAAAACATGACCTGCAAGGGAGAGAAATGGCAACAGCTGTCTCCAGGACCCCTACTCCCACCTGTTTGTAGCAAAGGAAAAGGAGAAGCCTGGGACATGGGGGTGAATTTTGGCCTTGGCCAATAGCAACCTGGCAAGGTCACAGCCTCTGGGAGTTCAGGTAAGTTGTGAGAAGCCAAGGAGATGATGGATAAAAAAACTTTGTAAACCAGACACTGCAGTCCTTACACATTGCCAAAGGCTTCTCCCTCCTTCTAGGCATGGCATTCAAGGCCCCTCATGACTGGCCGCTCCTCAACCCCCTACATCACCCTCCATTGTCAGGACCAGCAACCATTGAGACTGCTCAATGGGATTCCATCCTTTGCTTTTCAAAAAGGATGGAAACTTCGAGGTGCAGTGCAAGCCCCACTTCTTCAGGATCTCCAAGACTGTCCCCCTCACCCACTCAGGTTTTGCCGGCCACTTGTTCACACCCTCTTTTTCAAAAAGGATGGAAACTTCGAGGTGCAGTGCAAGCCCCACTTCTTCAGGATCTCCAAGGCTGTCCCCCTCACCCACTCAGGTTTTGCCGGCCACTTGTTCACACCCTCCTCTGCTCTGCTTGCCAGGACTCTGACTACTAAGTCTTCTTTTTCCAAATAAGATTCTAAGCACAACTCCCTGGGAAGCTAGCACATACTAAGTGGTACATAAGCACATAAAGTGCTCCACAGTGGCAAGTGTAGAGCAAAGCCTGGGCTGGGGTTTGCAGATTCAAGTCCCATTCCCTCCCTGGGCCTCAGTGACATCTGCCCCTTTGCTGTTTTTCTCCTCTGCAGAACAAATCACCTTTATGAATTTGTTTACTCATTTTATGTTTACCAAAGCCAGAGCTTCTGAGAATTGGAGCAAAGCAGTGTTGTCACAAACACCGCTCTCTGCCTCTCAGCTCGGCCTGATGGTGGATACTGCAGCCTGCTGGGGAGTTCAGTAAGAATCACCACCCCCAGGCCCCAACCAAACCAAGTGTGGACAGCCCCACTCACCATCCTTGGTTACAGCATACCCCACAGAGGCCCCACAAGCCACTGAGGAGACAGCAGGCAGCCTGGAGATGAGGGTGGGTATGCTCTTCTCCTCAGCACCCTCCCCAAGGCCCAGCCGCCCATACTCAGCCCGGCCCAGGCTGTATGCTCTTCCTGTGGGAGGAGGGAGAGAGATGAGCAGTAGCAGAGGGCATGCTCCAGGCAAATGGGCAGTAGGCCAGGGGACATCCCACATCCGTGGGAGCTTGTCTCCACTCCCAGGGTGGGGAGGAGGAGGTCTTCAGGGTCTCTTCCTGGCTTTGGGGGAGGTCTAGGAGAACCTCCACATAGGCCCCCATTGAACTCACACTTGGAAGAGTGCCAGGACTCTGGGGGAATGGGGTGACTGACCCTCATGGACCTACGTCTGGCTCAACCCATGCAACAGGCCCAGGTTCCAAGGACCATGGTCTCAGGAGTCCAGCCAGGCCTGGGCCAAGGGAACACCCTCTCCTCAACCTAGAGAAGGACCCGGAGGTACTACCTTCTGAATCCATGCAGACTGTATGATGCTGGCCACCAGAGAAGCCGACCCAGGACTTGGTGGAATTCTTGAAGGACGTCAGGTTCTGGGGTATGAAGCAAGATTCCGTGCCTGGGGTTCCTGGGGGAAAGACCAGTACAGAGCTAACATGTATGAAGGTGTTCTGGGAGCTGCCCTTTCAATCCCCTCCCACAGTAAGGCCACCCTCTACCAGGATAAACATTCTTACTCTACAGATGACAAAATGTGGCTCTGAGGGGTTAGGTGACCCATAAAAGGTACACAGTGAATACGTGGAGCCAAGACTGCAACCCAGGTCACTTGGTCATGCCTGATGCTGGGAGCAGAACTCACCAAGCTGATGGTAGTTGGAGAGGCCAAAGCCATATACATGGCCCTCTCGGGAGATGGCAAAGGTGAAATAAGCACCACAGAAGGCATCCTGGAATCTCACATGGCCCCGGCTTCCCCTGGATTTCAACATTACACACTTGGGGACCAGGAGTCGTTCTGCAGGCAGAGAGGAAGCCAGGGACAGTGACAGACAGACATATATGGCCTCTCTTCTCTCTGCCCCTGAGTCTGTTTCCCCTCCATTACAAAAGTCCTTGAACCGAGACTAAACAGGGACTCTTATCCCTATTTTACAGAAGAGGTCAGGCCAAGAGAGTACAAGTGCCTTACTCAGATTCATAGTTATTAGAGGTAACATTTACATGGAACTTACCAAGTGCCAGACAATGTTCTAATTAACTCATCTAAATTCACAGCAACCCAATGAAGTTGGTTTAGAGGTAGGTAGGTTTAGAGATGAGGAAAATATATCCAGGGTCCCATATCAAGTAGGTGGCAGAACCAGGATTCAAACCCAGGGTAGTCTTTCTCCAAAGTCTGAGTTCTTAACCAATGTAAGTCCATCTGATGCAAGCCTGAACACAGAGAATCCCTCCTGCCTTGGCCTTCACTGGGGGGGTGGCTCAACAAGTTGCCCCACCAGAGGTACCAAAGCCACTTACCAAGGCCCTGCCGGCCACCACGGTTGGCAAATAACTCAGGCACACGGCCCAGCTGGCCCTGCTCCCCACAGCCCAAGGTGTAGAGGTCACCATCAACTGTCAGCATCACCAAGTGGTCATTTCCTGAGGATGAGAGGAAGGCAAGGGGTACAGGCTTGTCTCTAAGGTGCAAGGCTGGTCCGGCCCTAGAAAAAGTTTCTCCAACTCCTGCCCAGAGCAAACCCAGACTCACCTGAGGCTACCTTAACCACGGGCACGTCCAGCTGCACTTGCACGGGCACCATGCTCTTCTTCATGGGCTCCAACAGCCCGATCACACCATTATTGTCCTAGAGGGGAGGGACAAAGCACTTATCAGCCAGTCCTTCCTGCCTCATACAACTGTCTGGTGATGGGTAGTGGTAATAGATGGGATGGAGAGGAGGGCAGGAGCCAGGCCACATACTGAAATACTTATGAATGAAATCATAAGTGTCTGGGATTTGCATTAAAATAAGCAAAGAGTGGGGGGGGGGGGGGAAAGGGAAAAAGAGGGGGGGGGGGGGGGGGAGAAAAGAGATAAACAAGTCTGGCCACAAGTTGATAATTGTCGAAGCTGTGTGGTGAGTAGATGAGGGTTCAATATATTATTCTGATTACTTTTATGTGTTTAGAATTCTCCATAAAAAACTTTAAAATAGCTCTAATGAGGAAACACCCCATCAGATTCTTTTATTGTTGACATTTGAAAGTATATTAAATACCAAAATGCCAAAACAATTTTAATGCTGAATCTGTTTTCTCAACTATGTTTTCCAGCCTTAGAAACTCTGAGATGCCACAATCCCTGCCTCCCAGGCCTCTGGGAAGTGTGAAAGAGGGATGGGGAGGGGAGGGGGAGGCTGAAGGGAGGGACATAGGGAGGACAGCAGGCTTCCTTGATCAGCCTCAAACCAGAGGCATCCTTGACCCACCCCTTTCCCAAGACATACATCAGATTCAAGGAAGCAGCCAGAGGTGTAGAAAGGCCCTGATGAAGCCAGCGACCTGGGTCTGGGCCCAAGCTCTGCCTGTGGGCCTTCATCTCCCCACCAGTAGGTAAGTACAATGGGGGCATGGAGGTAGATTATCTTTGGGGTCCCACGCAGTCTTCCAGACCCAGCCTTACCCGGAAGGAGCCCCAGAGGAAGACACGGCCATCCTCAGTGAGGGCCGCTGTGTGACTGTCTCCTGCTGACACCTGTACCACCTTCTCTTGCAGTTCCACTTTCCCAGGGACCATCTCTGAGCCCTCCGCTGATGTGTCCCTTCCCAGAGCTCCCTCATCATTGCAGCCGAAGGAGTAGACCTGTGCCCAGGATGCCTCCATTAGTGCAAGGTCTGGCCTCTCAGTCCATTATTGTTTAGGCCACTCCCTGCTTGGCCAACCAGTTTCATCTCCACAGTGAAAAGTGTGTGGCTGAAAGGACCTGTCCAATGCCTGCCCCCTAGGCCCTTTCCAACCCCCTAACCTACCTGGCCACTCTTGCTTAGACACACAGTGTGCATGCCCCCAGCCTCAGCTTGCACAACATCCTCCGGAATAGGCACCAGGGCTGGCTTCTTCCTCTCCATCACATTCTCACCCAGCCCCAGCTGGCCCACGTCGCCCTGGCCCAGTGTCAGCACCAAACCTGCTTCTGTGCTGTGGGACCTGTGTGAGACTGAGGGATGAAGAAGACAGCCCCTGAGTATGCAGGATGATGGGAGAGAGAAGTCACTTCATGGGCTCTGGGATCACACAGACCTGGGTTCAAAGCCCTGCTATGCCAGAGACCATTAGTATCCCTTCCCCAATCTAAGCTTCCTCATCTGTGACATGGGGATAACAAAAGTATCTATCTCATAAGGTTTTGGTGAAGATTCAAAACTGAGCACATTATTAACGTGAAAGAGAGGAAACAGAAACAAAGAGACACAATACTGTGAAACGAATCTTGGTGCGGAGGATAAGAGGACAGTGAGGACACAAGACAGTTTTCCTGCTTAGCTTTACACTGTTGGTCAGGAGCCATGGTGCCAACAGGCAGGGCTGAGATAATAATGTCTACCTTTTACTGACTGCTTACTCTACTAATGCTAAATTTCTTTGCAGTCCCCCAAATTATGCTGGACATTTTCCATATTTAGGATCTTGTTTTAGGAACAGAGCCTCCAAGAGGCTCAGTGACTTTCCCAGAATCACAAAGCTAATTAGAAGATTCTGCACTGAAACCAAGGGAGACTACACAGGTCAGAGCCGTCCCCAGCCTCCATCCTAACACTCCTCCATTCACAGGCTGTAATTTTTAACTCCTGGACATATTCACAGAGGAAAGCTGACCCCTTTTGCCCCATCCAGCAGCAGATGGGTATTTGCACAGAGGCATTTGCGGAGAGGTACATGCCAACACGTGGGCTGCACAGGGCCCTCTGCTGGTCATTGTAGGCCGCCCGCGGCCAGGACAGCCAAGAGCGTTCGGCCCCTCCCCCCGGGCCGCTGCAGCTGTGCAGAGGGTGCCCTGAACAGGGAGCCACCTGGTCGGGTTTTCCCCACCGCAAACACCTTGGCAGGAGCGGGCACCGGAAACATGGCGGGAGGCAGCGGCCCTCACGCCTGCAAAAGACAGACAGTGTCTGAGTGTAGGCCCTCACTCCCTTCTCCCAGATTGGGGGTGGTGGCTTTCTCTCCTCCCTGTTCTTCTTCAGGGTCCCAGGAGAGAGGAAACCACAGCCACCTCCCTCAAATGCTGACATTATCTCACTGAATCCTCACAGCAGCCCAGAAAGGTTAGTGCTGTTCTCACCTTCATTTTATGAAGTGGATAATCCAAGCTCAGCAAGGTTTGGTCACTTGCCCATGGTTACATAGCTAGAAAGTGGCAGAGCCACAACTTGAACGCACATCTGGTAGTCAGTGGTCCTAACCATAATGCATTACTACCTGGTGCGAAGCCCTAAGATCTAGTTTTTTTGCCAGTACTGCCTGAGTGATTTTGGCCAAGTCTCTGCCCCTTCATGATTCCCAGAGTGTGGGATTCAATGAGCTATAAGAGACCTTCCATCAAAGTGGGGTCCCTGGACATCCAAACCCCTCAGCTTCAAGTGTCAGGAAGAAAGGAGCCCAGTCCCAGATTCTCAGGGCTCTAAGAGGCCACCCACACCCCAGAAGAGGCCGAGGCCAACATACCCTTCACCTTCTTGCTTTTGGGGATGGCATCTTCTGGGGGTGATCTTCTCTTAGCTATGCGCTTGGGTGGCATCTTCCTGTCCTAAAAGATCCAGCCAAATACTACATGTTAGAAATGGGAAACATTTTCCTGCACCAATTAGGCAATATTTATCAAAACCCTAAAAGGATAAGAGGAATTGCCTAGAAATTGCCACTTCTCAAAATCCCGAGAACAAAATAATGGATGCACCCAAAGATTAAATTCCACAAATATTCTCTATTATATTCTTCATAACATAACATAAAAAAAAAATGGGAAACATTTTCCTGCACCAATTAGGCAATATTTATCAAAACCCTAAAAGGATAAGAAGAATTGCCTAGAAATTGCCACTTCTCAAAATCCAGAGAACAAAATAATGGATGCACCCAAAGATTAAATTCCACAAATATTCTCTATTATATTCTTCATAACATAACATAAAAAAACCCTAAACAAACAAACAAACAAACAAAGAGGGCTGCCCTGGTAGCTCAACTGGCTAGAGCACAATCTTATACCACTAAGGTCATGGGTTCGGATACCCGTGCTGGCCAGCCACCAAAATAATAATAATAATAATAATAATAATAAAAATGGAGCAACCCCTGTGCTCAATAGTAGTGGACTGGCTAGATAATATGTGGTATATTCATGATAGAACAGTACGAAGCCATTAAAAGTGATGAATTTATTGAATAAGATGTTCACCATGGCCAAGTAAAACAAGCAGACTGAAAAACAGCCTATCATCTCATTTTTGAAAAAAAAGAATGCATACACACATAAAAATATATGTAGAAAAATGTGTGGAAGGAAACATACCCAGTATTTACAATGGTAACCCTTGTAAAATGGAACTATGGACGATATTTACTTTTTTGGGGTACCTTCCTATATTTTCTAAGATGTTTAACATGAAGCATTACATGTATTTTGTTTTTTAGTCTGTTATAAAAAATTAAAACACTAAAGAGCAACATTAGGTGAACTATCCCTCATAACTCCCTCCAACCCTGAGATCACCACTAGTAAGTAACCTTGGTGATACACTATTGTTATAATCAAACAAAACCAAAGCTATTTTCATTAAATAAAACCAAATCGGACCATGTGGTTCCCCCCTTTGATCCAGAAGCACCACTTCTGGCAAGAGCCTGGCTTTCCTAAACAGTCCAACAAGAGATAAAAACTATATATGCAGTCATACTAACAAACACCAGGTGCTACAAAATGAGGAAATCACCTATTGGTGACAAGGAAGGTTGGACCTAGGAAGATCTAGGGCAGCTGAAAGCCTCTCACACCTGAGCCTCTTCCCCCTTATTTATTTATTTATTTTTTCCTTTTTGTCTTTTTTTTTACTGACTGGTAATACAAGGAAGGTTGGACCTAGGAAGATCTAGGGCAGCTGAAAGCCTCTCACACCTGAGCCTCTCCCCCCTTATTTATTTATTTATTTATTTTTTCCTTTTTGTCTTTTTTTTTACTGACTGGTAATGGGATCACAACCCTCGGTGTCGCGCCCATACCGGGGACCGGCAACGGGATCGCAACCCTCGGTGTTGCGCCCGCACCACGCTCAGCCAGTGAGCGGGAACCGGTCTCCACATGGGATCCGAACCCTCGGTGGGAGCGCCGCCGCGCTCTCAAGCGGCGCACTGTAGCAGTGCGCCACCGGGCCGGCCCAGCCTCTCCCCCCTTTAATTGCTGCGTCTTCTCCAGGCTTCTGGGAACATTCTCCCCAGCTCTCTCAATTTCAATCCAGCCCAAATAGTGTCCAAAGCCATTTTTCTTCCACAAATGCAGCTCCAGAAATAAATCTTCATTGAGCTCCACTCTTTAAGGTCATGAAGACAGTCAAGTTGCCTAAGGCAGGGGCCCCCAAACTCTGGACTGTGAATGGATGGCTGGGGGTAGGGTGCTTTGCAGCTATCCAGATGCAGAAATGGTATAGCATGTGGTGAAGACTGCAGCCTCTGGACTAGGCTACTTTCTAGCTGTTTCACCTTGGGCAGTTATCTAATCTCATCATCAGTTTCCTCCTCAGTAAAATGGGGATAATAATAGTAACTACACCATGTGTGATATGTAAGATTAAATGAGCTAATTATTGTAAAAGTACTTACATAGTAAGTGCTCAATAAATCAGACTGGTGTTATAGTATCTAGGGTCTGCCCAGATAATGCTTAGACACAGCCCTATTTGGGAACCAGTGGTCTAATCTAACATACCTCTCCTCCACTTTATAGATAAGGGATGGAGGCTCTACCCAAGGCTACAGTGGAACTCCAAAAGCCCTTCTCAGTCTCAGCTGTGGCCCTAAATACTGCTCCACCCTCCATCCATACCCCCGCCAATTTCTTCCTTCCAGTAGGTCCTAAGAGCCTCAGTCTCTCCAATTCTTCACTCCATGGTATATGAACACAGGGCTAGGCACTTTTCTACTAATTATCCTGGGGGAGGAGATTAATGTACCAAAGATAGGGAAATGACCAAAGGCCAAGAATCCTGCCAAGCCTGTGTAGGTTGAGCTTTTTGCAGGTTGTGACTGGCCCAGTTCTGACTCTAAGGAGGTGACAGCTCTAAACCTCACCCAACTTTTATTCTCCCAGAATTGGGGCTCCTTCCTTCCAACCTGCCTCTTTGAGACCCCTCTTCCCACTAAAAATGCACTAAAAATGGACTTCTTTGGGATTAGAGGGAACTGGTTCACCTTACAGAGCTGTGGCTTGCTCGCCTCTGCTCTTGTGACCATAGCTGGCCAGTGGCCTTAATCCCTCTGAGCTGTAACCTCATCTGTAAATGCGATATAATGACAACTTAAAGCTGCATCAAGAATGAATGAAATGTTTGTAAAGAACTTTGCAGTGCCAAGCACACAGTAAGTACTCAATACATGACAGCATTTACTCATTAATTCCATAAATATTTACTGAGTGCCTATTACCACTGCTTGGCTGTGGGCCCAGAGGTAGAGCAAGGAAGAAGTAGCTCCCTACTCTCATGGAGCTTACATTCTAGTAGGAAAGAAAAAACCCCCACAAAATTATTACAGATGGTGCTGTGTGAATAAGAAGCAAGGTGATGTGACAAGAGAATAACCTTGGTTTGCATAATAATATGAATATACTTAGTGCCATAGAACTATACCCTTAAAAATGGTTAAAATGGCAAATTTTGTTACATACAAGGGTACTTCAAAAAGGTCATGGAAAGATTTGTATTATCTTCCAATTCTTTTTTTCCTCGCACTTTTTGAAGCACCCTCATATATTTTACAATAAAAACAAATAAAAAGAGAATAACTTGGGATAGGGAAGGAGAGGGTCAGGGAGGTGACATTTAAGTTAATACCTGAAATATGAGATGAAGCCAGCAGAAGACCAGGAGAAAAGCCTTTGTAAACAGTGTAGAATGTTTAGGAACCTGGGGGGGAAAGTGGGGCTGGAGTGATCAGTCAAATGGGACAGAGCAGGCAGGGCGCTGGACCATGCAAGGCCTTACAGGGACAACATTGAAAATTTTTAGGTAGAAGAATGCCTTCACCAGATGTGCATTTAAAAAAAATTGTTCTGGCTACTGTAAAGAAAATGGAATGGATTGGAAGGAGTCATTAAGAGTGGGAAGCAAAAAAAAAAGAATGGGAGGCAGGCAGACTTTTTAGGAGGCTATTGCAGGCGACCAAAGGAGAGATGGTAGTGACTTGATTTGGTCTGGTCTGAGGCAATTGAGAAAAGTAGACACAATAGATCTACTTAGGAGACAGACTTGATTTGCTGGTGGATTAGATGGGGGAAGTGAGGGAGAGAGAGGGAGGAACCAAGAATGACTTGTTCATCCTAAAAAATTTAGGGGAAGGCTGGCCAGTTAGCTCAGTTGGTTAGAGAGCAGTGTTATAACACCAAGGGTGCTCTCTCACTCATGCCATACTTGCCACGTGATAGCCTGGTTGCCACAGGACCCTAGAGAGTTTCCCACCCAGAAAAAGGCCCTCACCAGATGCGACCCCTGGACTGTGGACTTCCCAGCCTCCAAAACTATCTTGCCCACCCTGCAACCAACACTGTTTCCATTTCATCTTGATCTCCCTGGACAGAGTCAGAAGGGATACCTACCTGCTGGAATCATTTTCTTCTCAGAGCTCTGCAACTGTATGTAACAAAGTATTTAATTCTAAGCTATGAGACAAGCATGGTGATTGAGAACACAGGTTTTGGAGACATAAAGACCTGCTTATAAATATTGATTCTGAATATAATCCCTGACTCCATACAACATGTTCCAGGGCAAGTTAATCTTTCTAAGCTTCTTTTTTGTTCATGAAATTGGGATAATAAGAAATGGGTTGTACTTAGCACAATGTATGGCATGTGGAAAGTGCTCATTTAACAGTGATTAATACCCAAATTCAGATAAAGAAGTTTGAAAAATATCAGTGCACTTAGACTTGTAGAAAATGTTTCAGGGCCGGCCTGTGGCTCACCCGGGAGAGTGCGGTGCTGATAACACCAAGGCCACGGGTTCGGATCCCATATAGGGATGGCCGGTTAGCTCACTGGGTGAGCGTGGTGCTGACAACACCAAGTCAAGGGTTAAGATCCCCTTACCGGTCATCTTTAAAAAAAAAAAAAAAAAAAGAAAATGTTTCAAATTCTGGTGTTAAACAGACACATATAGTTTTCTCTCATGAACAGGAAAACACGTTAATATTTGCCCTAAAGACTCCATAGCAACTTACATATATTTTCAACCATATGGATCTTTTCTTCTGTTATAAACTATATTTAGTGTACATAAAATTTTCATATTGAAAATACTTTACAAGTAAGCAGGAATTCTTTTACGGAATATAAAAATTTTAGAAAATAAGTGCACTCATGAAATGCATTTTAAAATTTATGGTAACAATTAAAATGAAAGTCTATTTGCTTTGAGCAAAATTGTAATGTTCCTAAATTAACTGACTGTATTTTCCCATAACCAAAACTTTGCTGATACATCTCTGTTCTGTGATGTGATATAGCTTCCAAAGGAAAATATAAAATTT